AACCCCCCCCCCCCCCCCCCCCCCCCCCAAAAAAAAATTGTATATTTTGTACATAGGTATATGACGATACGCGTATATCATCCCGTTCTTGGTTAAGTCGAACTAATGACATGTCCCCAGCAAAGGTCGTTTTGAGCACTGGGGTCGTAAATAGTGCAGCATTTCTTCAAAAGTTACTTAGTGTTCTGTTTTTTAAAACAGATGGTCCGACTTGTGATACCGAATGTGACGCATTTCGGATTAACCTTTGAACAGTGAACCAGACTAAACGACTGCTCGATTGGTGAGTTCTGCCCGTTCGGGGTTTTTGGAATTACTCGAACGCTCAATATACCAAGCAGGAACACGTTTACCGAAAAATGGTAGTTGCAGACAGAATTCAAAATGGCGGAGAAGAAAATAGATATGAACTCATTGAATGATACTTATCCGCCTTCATACCGTACGATTGGTGACAGAATTGGAACAAGCGGAACCTGTTCAGAACTTCAGAATAATAGAGCGCCCCCTACATACTATGGTAAACAGATTGACTTTATTTATATCAAGGAGAAAAGGAAGATTTATGTTTATTCATATCTTATATCAAAAACCAATATCAAAGAAAAACAGTTCAGAAATTTCAAAAAGAAAGCTTGAAAGATTATAAAATGATGAGATGAAAAACAAAAATGTGTGAAAATATGATGTTTTTCATCATTAACTTAATTGTTTATCAAATGTATGTACAGGTTTCATGAGGTTCTTGCATTTATCGAAGTCTTGAAGTTGTAACGACTGATACGATTAAATGACATCAGTAGCCAGATTATCGATAAAATAAAAACATTTTTGGTCACATATTGTACAAAAAAGGTGGCAATGATTCTAAGTGATTTTTGTGGCCTGAACCGTTTGGTAAGTTATTCTGACATAACTAAATCCGCAATGAAATTTCAAGTAATGACTAAACACATCACAAATTCAGCATTATTATGAAACTTCTATTTAAGTTAAAGCCGAATAAGTCAGACTTTTCGAGAATGAACTGATGAATCTAGCATAGCATGAATAGTTCATTAGCTGCTACCAATGTTTCGCCAAAATCTTTCGTTGTGCGGTTCGGTTAAAGTTGATTGGTCAAATCGTCTACATGTCAACTCGTCTACAGTTAACTCGTCAACAAAGTGAATTAACTCAGTCTACAACCTTGACTCAAGTCGTCAACAAACCTGGCGACAATTCGTCAACAACCTCGAGTGAAGTCGTCAACAAATAATATTGAAATACAGATGTTATTATATTGAAATATGTTAAGTACTTGGTTTATTTATAACTTCAAAATAATATTTCTAAAACAGTAAGTTAGTTCTTACATTGGGGTCCCACTTTCATATGACGGTTGAGTGAAGATTTACAAGTAAAACACTTTTCACAAACATCACATTGGTAAGGTTTCTCTCCAGTATGTATTCTCATGTGAACAGTGCGGTCACCAGACTTATAAAAACGCTTTTTACATACATGACATTTGTATGGTTTCTCCCCTGTATGTGTTCTCATATGTACAATGAGTGAACTTGAAGTAGTAAAACATTTTTTACAAACATCACATTTGTAAGGTTTCTCTCCAGTATGTGTTCTCATATGAACCTTAAGATTACTTGCTTTGATAAAATACTTTTCACAAACATCACATTGGTAAGGTTTCTTACCAGTATGCATTCCCATGTGAACATCAAGCGAATTTGTCTTTGTAAAACACTTTTTACAAACATCACATTTGTAAGGTTTTTCTCCATTATGAATTCTCAAGTGTTCATTAAGATGACCTGCTTTAAGAAACAACTTTTTACAAACATCACACGGGTAGCGTTTCTCTCCAGTATGAAGTTTCATGTGATCATTAAGTGAACTTGCCTTTGTAAAACACTTTATACAAACATCACATTTGTAAGGTTTCTCTCCAGTGTGTATTTTCATGTGATCATTAAGTGAACTTGCCTTTGTAAAACAATTTTTACAAACATCACATTGGAAAGGTTTCTCTCCAGTATGTGTTCTCATATGAACTTTCAGATTACTTGCTTTAGTAAAACACTTTTCACAAACATCACATTGGAAAGGTTTCTCTCCAGTATGCATCCTCGTGTGAACTTTAAGTGAATTTGCCTTAGTAAAACACTTTTTACAAACATCACATTTGTAAGGTTTTTCTCCAGTATGAATTCTCATGTGAATAGTAAGATGACTTGCTTTTGTAAAGGAACTTTTACAAACATCACACGGGTAGGATTTCTCTCCAGTATGAAGTTTCATGTGATCATTAAGTGAACCTGCTTTTGTAAAACACTTTTTACAAACATCACATTTGTAAGGTTTCTCTCCAGTATGTGTTCTCATATGAACTTTCAGATTACTTGCTTTAGTAAAACACTTTTCACAAACATCACATTGGAAAGGTTTCTCTCCAGTATGCATCCTCGTGTGAACTTTAAGTGAATTTGCCTTAGTAAAACACTTTTTACAAACATCACATTTGTGAGTTTGTTCTACAGTATGTATTCTCTTATGGACATTCAGAGAATTCGTTGTAACGAAACATTTTTCACAAACATCACATTTATGTGAATTTATTTTTTTTGAAGATTTATCCATGCCAAATTTTATAAAGTTCAAAAGTAAACAGGAAGTGCAATATTTTACGGATTGACTTTTGGTATGTCATATAATTTCAGAATAAATTACGGATTAAATATTATTTACAGAGTAGCTCAGTTTAATATTATATAGTTTGACTGAATTTTGTGGCAATGGGTGTTGACATCTTCACAATGTCAATATATTACGAACTTATACCTTGACTGCAAAAGCCACTACTTCTACACAATGCAGCTCTTTGATTGGATTGTAGGCATGCGAATATAGCCAATCAAAGCCCCCGAGACAAAGGCTGTCAACATAAAAAGTCTTTGGGTTCACAGAATTTGATTGGATGTATTAGCTTACGTACAATCTATTCAAATCGCTTCATTAACAAACTTCTATGATACTAGAAAGGTGACTATGGCAGTCAAGCTATAAGTACGGAGTTCTTGACATTGTAAAGTTGTATGTTGTATTAAGTGTGATATTGATAATTTGAACCGAATCTTGCAGTACTAAAACTGGCACACGAATAGTTTGACATACAGTTTTATGGTAATAGTAGCATGTATCTCAAATCAGATCAATCATGTATCGTGAGACATAATAAATTATACATTAATGTAATACAAGTACTTGTTTTTATGGGTAAAATAATTCAAAATAGCCCCATTATTACATCAGTACGTAACTTCAAAACAACGTCACCATTTCTCAGTTCCTACCATTTATGGTAAAGCACTACGAAAAATATAACAGACCTTAAAGGGACAGATGCGCCATTTTTTTTGGGGGGGTGGATTTGAGTCTTGAATATATGTAAATAGTCTTCAGAAGTACTAAAAATGTACAAAAATTCCATAATTCCGTCTAAACTATTTTCTTTATAAGGCGGTGTCTCATAAAAAGATGACTCGTCTTTTAACTTTCAAACGCTGATAATTCTGGATACACATGGATTTGAATGCTCAAATGTCGACGGTGAGCTGTGAACAATATTACTGATTGGCGCATCTGTCCCTTTAAACTGCCTGGAATAATTCATAAATTTACCAATCAGGACATCCAATCCCTATCCTGAACATGAATAGTTAATTATTCGTGCGAAACGGTAACTAAAATTTCATATCTGATTACGTGTTTGGGGCGATTATGAAACGTGAAGAACCTGCCATGGTTTTACAAGTAAGACAAAACAAAATTCGTAACACGCTTCAAAATCGACACACTTTTCGCAATAAGCATTTTTTTTTTATATTTCCATTGACAGTCTTTACAGTCTAATACTTTCTAATATTATTTAAATTTGTCGACTATCGTACTTTAATAAGACAGTTTTGTCCAATAATTGATGAGACAATATGGAAGCCGGTTTCGGCCAGGTATACTCTCGCTCCGTTGAAAGCATAGAAAAAAGGCAAGAAGTCTCGAAGTCGAGAGTAGATATGGCCTCGAACGGCTGCCATAAAAATATGATAATCAACGACTCTTTAAATTATTTTAAGTAATAGTTATAAGTAATAATATGATAAATATTTCATAGTGATATTAAAAATCTAAGTCTTTTATACAATGCAATGCTCGTGTGACTAGGTGCGTTCGCTGAATTTGTATTAGTTCATTTTTGTTGATGTGTAAAATACGTTGATGATGATAATGTGAATCTAATGGTTGTAAAGCTCTACTAAATAGAGTGGAAGTCGATTTATAGTTTCTGCTGATATTTACTACTTAATTCTCATTAACATTATCTCTACTTCCAGAGTCGATACAAATCAATATACATATACTGGTGTCGGTACAGTCAAATCACCAATAAGCTAGCCTCTTGTCATCTTCACACAGTCGAGCTATTACCAAATTCGTCCAATACCTTGACTTATCTCAGAAATTTGCAAATGCAGCGATTTGATTGAATTGCTCGCTACCGAATACAACCAATAGATGCCTTCGATTACACACGCGTCGATATTGTCTGTATTCAGTAGAGTACAATCCAATCAAATCGCTGCATTTCCAAACTTCCGTATGGCAAGAAAGGTGGCTATTTCATTCAAGACATTAGACGCAGTTGCTAAGTTGCTAATAGCTTGGCATTCACTCTTGTTAGCTATAAATGCCCTAACTCTTCCTGTGATCGAGAGTAGGAATCATCGCCTTTAAACCAATGGAGCACGAATTTGAACATCCGTACAGAATTTTGTGCCGCCCTCTCAGAGCAAATTGGAAATCGAAAAAGAGTATAGTATACTACCACAGTCCTATAGCTATATAATTTATCTAATCTAATTGCGTTGCCCGTCTTCATCAGGCCGACCAGGTGCAGAAAACAGGACGTAAAATTCCATTTGATTTGATTTCAATTTCCTTTTTATGACTGTATGACCTAGTGTGGATATTTCTTGAAACAACTGACATTATAAAGTTGTATAAATTGACAATGCGTTAAGTGTTCCCACTGGAATAAAACAACAAACAGGTCACACATTTCTATTGTTGTTTCATCATCTGAATTAACAAAGGTATTCCTTAGAAATCGAATCGGCATTCTCAACAAATTCTCTTGTGCTAATGCGTATTTCGTATTTGGAGGATTTAATCCAGAGTTCCAAAAAGTCGTGGCTAAGGCATTTGCCTTGTCTTGATCCCCAAAGTTCGATCAGTTAAAGATCGATTCGTACCAGTGGAACGCCAGCTTTCGGAGACTTGGAGCACAAGTCAGTGAATTAATGGAAGGTGTCGAGATTGAGATTCAAAATTCGGTAGCTGAATCGCCATTTTGCTCGCCCACTTCCTACACATACCCCCACTTTCAGCACCACCGAATCGTACGGTTTACCAACGCCTTTTCATTGCTGCAAAAAGAGGACAATGGCACTAAAATAGGCCAAATTATCCTTGGACAGTTAATTGAGGTCATGTGTACTACTAGTTGGTGCTTCGCGGTCAAAATGTGTCGCAGTTAAAAATCGATTAAGAGTTGACCAATTAAAGCCACTGTCTTGAATATTTTCTTTACTGTCTACTATGTCTTGAATAGATTAATGGGAAACGGTCTACAATCATAAGACCTTAAAAAATTCAGTCAAGTTAATCGATCATATCTATCCGGTTAGGGCAATTGAGAAACCAATTTAACATCGTCGTCACCAATATTCAATCAAATATGACCAAGTATAGTATCTCATCGAACGTTTACTTAACTAAATAGAACATTAACTTCAACTGGCAATCATTTGCACGTGTAATATCTCGGGCTATTGCGGTATGAAGAACACAATCCAGTTTTATGTTTTATTAAACATATATTTAAAAATCCGAATCCTGTAATTGTTAAGTCTTAAGACTTCCACAAATGTGAACGTATTGCTTTAAAAGTGTACCAATGATGAAACACTTTATCGATAAATCATTTCATATTCCTCCGTAATGTTTTTGAAATTTGATGTTTATCACGAGTTGAAAAAATTGAAATTTCTCGACAGTCGTCCTTTAAGCAAAGACTAAAAGTAGGGCAATGCTGAACAGTCAGTTGTGATAATCCATTTCAAGTCAAAAAGAAGAGCAAAGAGAAAAAAAAAAACAATTCAAAAGAGGTCCACAGTGTATGTTTTGTTGGGGTGGTTATTTCTTTCGCAATTTTCAATACAACTTTTGTCCATTATTGGTACTATTGTTTTGTTAATTTTTTGTTAAATATGTATTTCTCAACATCGTGATTGTATGTTGCGACATGATAATGAACCATCCATTCAGATAATTTTTTTCAATGTTTCCTGTTAGTGCGTGGGATAAAATGGGAAACGATCAAACCAAATTGCTATCATTGTGAAGGTGTTACACAATCATTACGTGCAATTCATTCCATTTCCGATCCTTTTTCTGTAATTTACGTTTCCGTTTTCGATTTGAAATGACAGTAGGCCATGCTTTAGATGGGCGATATAAGATAGGATACCACTCCTTGAATGTCACAATAGACATAACAATTAACGGCAAAAAAAGAGCAGGAATAGACAAAGGTAATTGCAGTGTAGAATTACTGAAATTGATCGTTTCGCTAGATACGTATTCAAGTCGCAATATTATTATATTTTCATTGTAAAATACCAAAGAGCGTCGCACAAAAATACACTGCGAAATCTGCCATTTTTATCTGTCATTACCGAAACAGATTCAGCTATACGAAAACTACCCAGGATTACCGAATGAATACATGCAAGTATAATAGTATGGGACGCTACGTCATAGTATTTGGTGTCCAGAATATTTGTCTAAAAACGCCCCAATGTTAATTCAATGGAACTTAAAAAGTTTTGCCTTGCCAAGAGATTCTTTGTTCGCAGACAGCAAGTTATATATTGTCATCATTAGCGTGGAACGGGTTTCATTTATTATATATCAGAAACCATGCACCGTAAAGTCTCGCTTCCCTCTTTGTACTGATAGCATAAAAATGGCACTTAAATATTAAAACGCAATCGACTTATTCGTCAAAGCGATAAAACAATACATGAAGAGGATTCAATCATACTTAGTATGTCTTTTAATGACACACCGTCTTATTTCTTGAAGTACATCTTTTCATTCATTATATTTAAAGGGACAGATTCGCCATCCGTTTGACTAACACTGTGCCGTGTCTCAAAAACGGGAATAGTTTTTAGCTAATCAGCTTATCAGTAATAGTGTTCACAGCTCACAGTCAAAATTTGAGCCTTCAAAGCTATGTGTGTCCTGAATTTTCCGGGTTAAAAAGTTAAAAAGACCACTCCTTTTTGAGACTCTTTCATATAGAAAACATATAGAAAAAGAAAGAGAAATTCCTAATTTGAGGTATATTTGAAGGAATTTTGCGATTTTCTTATTTTTATAGTTCTTCTGAAGACTTTTTAACATATTCAAGACAAATCAACCCTCCGAAAATGGCGAAACTATCCCTTTAAGTGTGAATTGTGAGTTTAAAGGAGGAATGTGTTCCAGCTTAGGTATAAACGGTCCAATTTTTAAAACGTCAGATGGTGCACACTCCCACTTTAATGAAGGTTGTATATTTACCTGATTTGTAACGTAGATATCTCGAATAAAATATGTTTCTTTAATTAAACTTCCTTCACTTAAAATGTCTTGTAAAACAACTGCACCAATAATATCATGTCTTGAAAACCGGTCAAAATCGTAGACATTAAACTGTAAAATCCTTTGTGGTAGATTTTCATAAGGTACATTGAACACGAAGGTTTCCTCAAACTCTGGGTTGAGTGTTTTTCTATGAACTTTGGTTTGAAATTTAGTTTTTCTGTCTGGTAATAGATACACTTTTACATAAGGATCCGAAGTCCCAGAGAAGTCTTTGGCTGGTAAATTTTCCGCACGATGAATGTCCACATATAAATTTCTCTCGTCTTGAACGTAGGTCAAACTGAAGAATAACTTCCCACACGCTGTATGTTCTGATCGGAGACTGTCAACGGACGCTTGTTTGTACAGTTCCGGTTTTATGGACCCTATATCCGGCTGTTCTTTGTGCTTAAAACTCTGAACAGTAAACTCAATGTTTGACAGGTCCAATTTATGAGAGAGCATACGTTGGAAGGGCATGTGACGTGGGGAAACTGTCGGTAAAGTCCATTGTCGTGCGCTTACTGAAAAAATTCCACGCTTGCTTGATGCAGTTTTATCGTTTGGACATGCGTCTAATGCTAAGTCTGGAGTACTTTGACTGATCCGCACATTTGGACTAAGTCCAACGTCCGTGTAATCACCAATTCTGTTTGTTGCGTTATTCCTTCGAATTTTTCGTGTGCAGACATACCAAGCTGCCGATAGTAAAATAGCCAAAACTAGTATACTGCATCCAATAACCGATCCCAGCACAGCCGGGTCCAACCCATCTGAAATGAACAAAGGGAAAATTGTTAAAAAGACAGTACAAAAGTTTGTATTTGTCCCTTTTGTGTGCTTTTAGAGCACATTCACTTATTGCACAAGACACAGTGGAAAAAAAATGAAAAAAGACAGAAAAAATAATTCTTATACCATTTACGTGATTATTTTATTTTCAGAATAATCTAAGTTCGTACATTTACATACAATCCAATAGTGATTAGCTTTATTCAATATGAGATTTCGTCGCAAGTTAAACTGACATATTTGTAAAAAAAAACCTATTATTAGCCTGATTACGTCTTCAGAATGTCAAGCTATTACGACATTCGGCTTATACCTTGACCCCAATATGCGCATTTCTTACATCACTGCTTGATTTGATTGAAATGTTCACTAGCATATACAACCAATCAGAGGCCTCGATAAAAATTCTGTAAACACTAAGCCATAATGTTTACAATCTTTCTGTCGAGGGCTGTATTCGCTTGCGTACAATCCAATCAAATTGCTGCATTCCGTGACACAAAAAAGACGGCCAGTGGAGTCAATAGCTGCATTCCGTGACACAAAAAGATGGCTATTGGAGTCAAGGTATAAGCCGAGGGTCGTTATAGCTTGACTTTGTGAATATGGTCTGATTACAGAACACAATTTAATTGGAGAACATATCCTTAGCAGACATGGTAATTTTCTTTTAAGACAATGAACATGATAGGCCTACTTGAATGACAATCGGGTTATATTTCTTCCGGAAATGTCTGCAACAGTGATCGAATTCAATGAAGTAGTCAGCAGAATAAGATTAGAACTGTCTATATTATTTGGAAAAGTCACAGCCTCTAAAACAAAGGTTTTCAACCTTCTGGATTCTTGATAATTGTTCAAAGTTTTATGCTAGACATCAAAGAGCCTAATTGCTCCCCCAAAAATGCCAAAATGACACCCTTGGTTGAAAACCCATGCACTATACAGCTGAGTATATTGAATTCAAATTAAATGTCATTTGGTTATTTATAATAGTTGGCTGTATAGTGGTCTGAATATTTGCTTTCCCAGCTAGGTTGTGCCAGGATAGCGGCATAAGCATACTATTTTTCGCTTTTGGAGGATCTTGAAGTTGCTTGGAGCATACGAGACCCCGGTTTATTGCATACGCTCTGAACCAGACTCCTTTTACATGACTTTTAGAATCAATGACAAGAGATAACTGGGTAAAAAATTCCAAGTGGTAGTTTGTGAAGCAATCGGTCGCCTTTGGAGCTGCCAGAGTCGATATTGAACCCTGATCATTATATGATAGAGAGCTGGAGAAAATGCCTACAAATTGGTTCAGTTTTATGGAGAAAACGACACGACCAAGCCGTTTTAATCTGCTAAAATACAGACAAGACTCTGGTTGATACCAGATAAAACATAGACGTTCCTGGTCATATTTTGACAAGGAAAATTATAGTCTGTAACCGATCATGAGTGAAGTATGTCTTCATAAACAATAATTACTGTCCAAATCTGAGAGGTTCCATTCTACGCTGGAAGAAAGTGGTATGATTTTTCTAAGATTTCTAGTGATAAAATGGCTTATATTGTTTTTTTTACTTTATTCATGGCTCATTTTGTTGTCTTACTCACACATTTCATGACTTATATTGTTGTATTTTCTGATACAATTCATGACTTATATTGTGATGTCTACTGATACAATTCATGACTTATATCGTTGTATCTTCTGATACAATTCATGGCTTCTATTCTTGTATTTACTGGTGTAATTCATGGCTTATATTGTTGTATTTACTGATGTAATTCATGGCTTATATCGTTGTATTTACTGCAACAATTCATGCCTTATAGTGTTGTATTTCTTGATACAATTCATGGCTTATAGTGATGAATTGACTGATACAATTCATGGCTTATGTTGTTGTATTTACTGATACAGTTCGTGGCTTATATGGTTGTATCTACTGATACAATTCATGGCATATATTGTTGTATTTACTGATACAATTCATGGCTTATATTGTTGTATTTACTGATACAAATACAATTCATGCAATGTATGGCTTATATTGTTGTATTTACTGATATTTACTCTCTTATGTCACTTGTTGATAAAGAATTTGCTTTCGGATTCTGCTATTAGAAAGAGTTACCTGAGCTCACCTTCATTAATGTTGCAATGTTCACATGATACAAGATATATACACTATAATGCTCATTAAGTCGTTTCAATACATTTGATTGAATTGACCAATTTGTTGCCGTGGAGATAAATGACTTATCACATTACTTCTCCTTTTCAGTAGGCAATAAGCAATATGATAAATTACCAACTAAATATTAATAGTTATCTTACATTACACAATCGTTATCAATAATCAAGTGCCGATTGAGCTCGAATTTCTGTCGCATTATGGGAATAGTAATGGAGCAAATAAACATCATTGAACAAAATATGGAGATTCTGCAGTGAAATGGAATGAATGGAGTTTTACGTTCTACTTTTCTGCACCATGTAGGCTAATAAAGACGGGAACATTCTGAAAGAGGTGCCGAGATACGTATAGTGTATTTTGGTTCGGGGAGTTAAGCTGGTTAAAAATGTATACTTTGGAAGACTTTAGCAATTACTTGTGGAAATCAAGCATTGCTGTTGTTTGAGATTTGCCATTTGTCTTGAATACATGTATATGTAAATAGTCTTCGGAAGTACATGTACTACAAATGTACGAAAATCGCTTAATTCCGTGTTACGAAATGATGAGTCAAAAGCGGATAATTCTGGACACACGTGGTCCGGAAGGCTTAAATTTTGACGGTGAGCTGTGAACATTATTACTGATTAGCTTAGATAAAAAATTCCCGTTATTGAGACTAAAGTAAGTTGATCAAACTTTGATACGGGATTCTCTTTATTGTATCATTATTGTGAAATATGATACAATAAAAGTAATTGGATCAAGGATGGTCCTCAATATTCTCTGATTAAGCCTGTTCATTTGGGGAATTAACCCCCCCCCCCCTCCCCTCCCTCACAGAAAACAAACACTTCATAAAATATGTGTAACGTCTTTGAAAGTTTGAAACTATTTCAGAAAATGTCAGCTAGGTTACTGCAATAGTGCTATATATTACTTCTTCTTTTGCTAAAAAGGCTAACAAAATTCGTAGTCATCTCGCTTGAGACGCCACTATAGTGTGAAGAACCGCCATGAGGCCAATAATATTTTCTAGCGGAAACGCTCTCGTCGTTTAGTGAGATTGATAACACTATCACGAACCTCCTGTCCCATGGGATCAGAACCAAATAAATCAGTGGGTCATCTCTATTGAAAGTGTTTTATATATTTCAACTTATTAATAAATCAAAAACTTTCATTAGCACGATTTGTTTTTATTCGTTTGAAAACTGCTGTGACTTCTATCGGAAAAAATAGGACGTAAACCTACATTTCATTTATAGATAAATATTGGCTTCGTTGGTAAAAGACACAAAGTTGACAAATACAATCGCAGAGGTACAGCAGGTGTTCTGGAAGAACGAGCAAGTGCAGCCGTCGAAATTCTGGATAAAGAGTGGATAGCCTCGAACTTGGACTCCAGGGCTAATATCTCAGTCGATTGATTCGAAACACCAGATACTCAGAAATTAACATTATTTTCAGAGTTTCCCTCTATGAATATGAAATTTTTATGAAATCTAAAAGTAATAAACTCAAATAGGAGCATAAACTAGGATTCACAACTTCACATCTCCATTTCATTTGATATAAATTGCTCTTACTGCAACTTACAATTACTGAAATATTGTCAAATGTTGTTATCATATTATTGATTGAAATAATAATACGATATTATGTGGAATAACAAAAAATCCTCTCTGATTAAATAGAGCCTCATACATCAATTGAAGAGCGATATAGAAATATTAAAACAAAACTTAAAAAATAACATGTCGTTATAGTATCACGCTACACTATAACCTACCGATATATGTACATCGGGTGTCTAAAATTGCGATTGGTGGTCGAAGAGGATTGATATTGCATTTTCTGAAATGCTATTTTGTTCGGAGCAGTTCTTGTACAATTTTTATTCGACGACTTGCATATTTTCAAGGATTGACATCGACATCTTAAAATATATCTGAGAGAATTTTGAAAGAGATCATTTTACCAACAGCTGAGATTCTATTCGTCGAACTTTGGGACGTTTTTCCTACGCATACGATATATGCAGAGGCTAAATGGACTACACTTTTTTGGACAACGAGCTAATGCCAGGGAATGCACGCATCTATTACCCTCTACTAAGTTGCAAAAAGTGGGTTTTAAAAGGACAGATTCGTCATTTCAATCTTGAATATATGTTAATAGTCTTAAGAAGTATTAGAAAGAACAAAATTCGCACAATTCCTTCAAAAATATCTCAAACTAGGAATGCGACTCTATTTCTATATGCATTTTCTATATATGACAGAGTCTCAAGAAAAGACGACTCGTCTTTTAAAGTTTCTAACGGGAATAATTCTGGGCAAACGTGGATTTGAAGGCTCAAATTTCGAAGTTGAAATTACTGATTAGATTAGCTAAATAATTCCCGTTTCTGAGAGTAGGGTACGATTGGTCAAGCAAATGGCGAAACCGCCCCTTTAAATCTGTAGTCAGTTCGAACATGCAACATATGTTAGGAAAGGATAGATACGCCAATCCCCGAATATCATTTCAACTTATACCGACGTAACCCAGAAAGAAAAGCACTAAAATACCTTTACTAACTCGGTCATACTGTCACAGACTGTAACAGTCTATAATGTAACATAGCTTTATTTCCTATAGATTAAATCTTAAATTTCCATTACTATACATTTCATTAAACAGACCGTCTAGGACTGTTGTTGATTACGACAACTTCTTTCACAACTCTATTGACAAATAGATTACAAAATCTTTCTATAGCATGACGTGTTCGACGCAATTCATTTGGGACAACTACTGGATAGTATT